GGGATCCCAGAAGAAGAAGAAAGAGAGAGAGGGGCAGAAGGTATAATGGAGCAAATTATAGCAAAGAACTTCCCTAATTTGGGGAAGGAAACAGGCATCAAAATCCAGGAAACACAGAGAACCCCTCTCAAAATCAATAAAAATAGGTCAACACCCTGACATCTAATAATAAAACTTACGATTCTCATTGACAAAGAGAAAATCCTGAAAGCAGCTCGGGAGAAGAGATATGTAACCTACAATGGTAGAAACATTAGATTGGCAACAGACCTATCCACAGAGACCTGGCAGGCCAGAAGGGACTGGCAGGATATATTCAGAGCACTAAATGAGAAAAATAGGCAGCCAAGAATACTCTATCCAGCTAGGCTGTCATTGAAAATTGAAGGAGAGATAAAAAGTTTCCAGGACAAACAAAAACTAAAGGAATTTGCAAACACAAAACCAGCCCTACAGGAAATCTTGAAAGGGGTCCTCTAAGCAAAGAGAGGCCCTAAAAGCAACATAGACCAGAAAGGAACACAGACAATATACGGTAACAGTCACCTTACAGGCAATACAATGGGAGGGTTAGAGGGAGAAGCAGGGAGCCCAATGCGGGAATCGATCGCACGACTCCAGGATCATGACCTGAGCCAAAGGCAGTCACTTAACCAACTGAGCCACCCAGGAGCCCTGTTCTGCTATCATTTTTGAGGTAACAAATAGACATACTGCATTTTTTTCATCTGCTAAGTGACATTAACCCAGTACAGCACTTCTGATGCCAGTCTGGGAAAAAAGCGACAAGCAACACTGGGATCAATTGGGAATATTGTGAATATGTGTCAGTTAGTGTATGACTGACAGCAAAGTCTGCAGGGCCACTTACACGGTCCTTTCATGGGCCAGGCTCTACTTGAAACACTTTACATATATGAACTCATGATCCTCACAGCAGCCCTGTGATGATTTATTATTACTCTTATGTTTTTTAGATTATGGATGAAGAAACTAAGGCACAGTGAGGTCAATTTAGTCAAAGTCACACAGCTGATAACACACAGTCAGGATTCAAATCTAGGTGGTCCACGCTCTGAACTGCTCTACCAACCTGTCTCACATATATTTAACACAGGCCTTTAACATAATACTAGTTTTTTAAAATTACGCTCAATAGACTTTCTGTTGTTAAGTCTAACTCTCTGTTGGTGATATCACAATTCTTTGAGAGTCCCAGAGTCCATGAGGTAGGTAAGAATACTAAAATTTGGTTACCATCTAGGGAATTCACAATTCATGCACTTTGAACTTACGACAACTCCAAACTGCGGGCAATGCCTCGGAATCAGAGATTCTTAGAAGATGCCTTAGATATCATTACATATAGTACCTCCACTCTCACTGTCCTTTATCCAACCTAGTTCTAGAATCCATTAATACAGCTACTTACTACCCTTCACCATTCCTCACCCCCCATCTGTGCCCTCGCCCCCATCTGTGCCCTCACCATGTCCTCATTGTCCTACTCAGGCAACTTAAGTTCTGTGATCAGCCATGATCGTCGCTCCCTTGCAAACACTACTGGATCTTCTGCCTCAACCTTACTTCAGCATATGTGCCTGGCTGAGGCATAACTCTGCTTACATCTCTCCATCTACTCTACGCAGGCACATGTAACTGATAACTAACCTCAAGAGGGCATTTAATGGTGTATGATAATCACAGGAAATTCCTTTAGTCCGTTCACTCTGACACTCCCCTGGATAACTATTTCACACTTTCCTTCTTAAATCTACCATTATTTCTCCCTCAGCCCTAATCTCATTGGATGACCCTGTTTCCCCCACATAGCTAAATCCAATGATCAGTTCTCAGTGGCTCTCTTATCTGACTTATCAGTGGCATCTGACATAGTTGATCATTCTCTTCCCCTGGCTTCTAGGCCTCTCCACCCTCCTGTGTGCATTTTCTCTTCTCTTTCTAGAGTTACTTTCTTGGTGATCTCATTCAGTGTCACTGCTCTGCAAGGTGTATGCTGATGATGTCCCAATATGCATCTTCAGACCAGACACAGACTTTTAAATCCAACTTCAAACAGGACATTTGCATTTGGATGTCTAATGAGCATCTCAAGCTTAAATATCCCAACTGGAGCTCCTACTACCCTTTTCCAATCCAAACTGACTCCTCTTACAATCTACCTCATCTCAATAAAGGCAACTCCATTCTTCTGGATACTCAAATTAAAACCCTTGAAGTGATCTTTGACTCTCTGCTCTCAGACCTCAAATCCAGTCTATCAGCAAATGTTACTGGCTCAGGCCACTTCTTCCCTGTCACACTTTCATCAGGTTCAAACCACTATCTCTCACATAAATTACTGCAATAACCTCTTAATTAGTATCACTATTTATGCCTGCCGTCCTACTGCCTATTTTCAATTCAGTAGCCAGAATGAGCCTATTAAAATTCGTTTTATCATGTTCCTCTCCTACTCAAAACCCTATAATGGTTTCTCATCTCAGAATAAAAAGCAAAATTCTTTTTTTAAAAAGCAAAATTCTTCCAACAATGTATAAGATCCTACATAAACGCATTTCCACACACCCCCAATCATTATCTAACTGACCTCATTGCTCACTATTCTATTTCCTTCCATCACTCTGCTCCAACCACATATAATGCATTGTCCACGTTGTATCCAACTATATTGGTTTCCTTGCCTTTGTCTGAGTATTCCAGGCATGCTCCCACCTCAGGGCATTTGTACTTAAAATTCCCTCTGGCTGGAATGTTCTCCTCCCAGATATTTTGGGTTTACACCATCGCTTCTTTCAAAGTCTTCTTCTCAGTGAGATCTTTTCTGCCACTCTATCTAAAATCCACTACTTTTTATCCCTCTCCTTCTCTGCTTTGTTTTTCTCTTTAGCACTCTCTAATATACCATATGCTATTCATTCATGTTGGATAATTTTTTTTCTCTCCCACTAGAAGGCAAAGTTCATGAAGACCAGAGCTTTTGTCTGTTTTGTTCAGTGCTTTATTCTTAGCTGTTAGAAAAATGCCAGCACTTACTAGCCTAGCAGGTACTCAATAAATATTTGTTGAATGCATAGCTAGAATAAAACCCATGATTCATTCTCCAGGCAAAAAAGTGACAGAAATTAAAAGGCACCCAATGTGTAAATCAATCTGGAAGGGAGTTACAATCTTGGGACAGAAGTATGTTGGAGGAAAACAAAAGCAACTATATGATGTCTCATACTTTTCTGAACATAATTTGAAATGACTGTGTAAAAGAGTTCACTTAATAGCCAATGACTTGAAAATACTGTTTATGTAACAACCAATACTTGGGAAAAAATTTTAGCATTATTATATAACATATGTCATCCTACATGGGCATATTAGCATTCTCACATGAATTCTTCAGCAAGATATAAAATAATATACATATTGGGGATACAAATAAATCTTTAACTATCCCCTCACCACTTCCATCCCCAACAATTTTCTGATTTTTCAAGGCAGGAATTCTAGTCCCCAAAAGCAACACAAAAAGCACATTTCCACAACTTTCAATAAAAGTTAACAACTAGAGTTAGTACCTATTCAGAAAAAACCAAGGGCTATTAGTCCTGTCTTTTATTGTTTTTTTCCTTAAAATAGTCTGAATATTTTCTCTTACAAAGAAATATATAATCCAGTGGAAGTGCCCTATGGTATCCACACACAAAAGATAGTATACAAAGTGCCTCCCACTCTCGGATACACTCCCTTTAAATATTAACGTCAAAAAGTTAGTAACATCTGGTTTAACAACTGGCTTACATGACAAACATAAAGCTATGGGGATCACAGAGAGGTTTCCCTCTGAAGGAACTGCAGTGGTCACTGAGATCTGTATTAGGAAGTAAAAACAGAACATTTTTTCCCCCCTCAAAATAAGAATATATAAATTCCCACACTGGGACAGATTCATGGTCTGTAATTCCAGTCTGAAACATTTAAAAATGTTAACAGACTTAATTCTGTGGGAAAACAAAGCTGACATCAATATCAAAAGGCTCTACTGTATGATAATTTCCCTTAACAGCCCCTGAAGAATTAGATGTGAATTCACCTAAACCTTTTAGGCCTTTCTCAGTCTCTACACCCAAGTATACTGGAGTAATTAATTTAACATCAAACATATTATGTATCATAACTATGTGAGATGTTAGGACTATAAGACAGGACTCACACCCTGGAGGAGGACAGAAATGTGGATGTATTAAGACAGTAAATACAATATACACAGCAAATTTAAGTGGTTTGGGAAAATAATATGGTAATGGGTTCTGCAAATTTGGGGATGTACTCAAATTCATTCATTTTGGGGGTATTAATAAAATATTTTCTTAGTTCCTACTTTGTGCCAGGCACTGCTTATGGTGCAAGGGATAGAGCAATGAACAAAACAAGCAAAACTTCCAGCCCTCATGAAGTTCATATTCTAGTGTTTTGAATAAACATGTTATAATAAATAGCACTGAAATTAGTTCTGCTGTGATTCTGTAGCTTCCTACTTATACTCTCAATTAGAAGGGTAAGAATCGGGGCACCTGGGTGGCTCAGTCTTTAAGTGTCTGCCTTTGGCTCAGGTCATGATCTCAGGGTCCTGGGATAGAGCCCCACATCAGGCTCCCTGCTTAGCAGGGAGCCTGCTTCTCCCTACTCCCACCGCCCCCTGGCTCTCATGAATAAATAAATAAAATTTAAAAAAAAAGGGTAAGAATCTCCTAAGCAAACACCACATTTTTTAGGGGTACTCAAAGGAAGATTCTTCACCACTAAATTTCTGTTGGTTTAGCATCTAATGAAAAATAAGAGTCAGGTTTAGAAATTTTTTTTTTTGAGTGATTCAGAATTTAAACTGAACATAGTGCTAACAAATCTTTCAGATAATTTTTACTGGCATATTTCTAACCCTCTGCAGTTTTAGTTGAAAGTTATATCTTAAAACTGTATTTTGTCCATATCCTGTAAAGTACGACTTAGGCTAACAAGATTCTCATATCTTGGAACCTCAAATCTTTTAAGCAGAGGGATCATGGCATGTTATGTTATTACTAATGATAGCTTATTACAGACTTATCAAAACTGCCACTTGGTGCAACCTCACTTCACCTTATAAGGCGGTTGACAGAGATACACTTCATTCCACACACAATCTCTTAAAAATAATTAGAATTGCATCACTTGCTCTACACATGCTCTGGGAAAGGTTTTACTACTTCCAGTTCAGTGTCATGTTCAAGTCAACCCGGAAGATCAGTTAGAATTTTTCATCTGTTTACAAACCTGTAGTTCCACTGCCATTAACAGCTTCCTTGTCCTCATCGTCTTCCTCTTCAGGAAGAGAGCTGTCCATTCTTTCCATCTTGCTGACAGATGTAGTTCGTTTTCTTTGGGATTCGGTGTCAAACTCATTATCGAAGAGGACCTGATCAACTGGATCTGGCTGGAAAGGGCTGGGTTCTGCTGGAGGTTTGGGAGTTCCATAAAAGTTTCCTGAAATGGACAAAATAACGGCAGCTGAAAGGACTGATTTGAATTGAGAGTCAGAACACATGGTCCAATGTATGTCTCTGCCCTGCTGCCATATACCGAGGCTTCTGAATGGCCAAAAGGAAGCCCAAATGCTTCTTCTTGGGAGCAGAGGAGGGAGAAAGAACAGAAAGAACTAATTTCTCAAGTGCCCATGTATATTCTAACATTATCTAACTTTTTATTACTGTTTGTACTAAGGATAGATAGGAAGTTGACTTCATGTACACAGATTATTTATTCCTATAGGGCTTGCTTTGCATGGGCTCTAAATTAGGGCCTGATTTGTGAATTTAAATGCATCAATGCTCTTGTGTAAGACTAATTGGTATAGGGGCGCCTGGGTGGCTCAGTTGGTTAAGCGACAGCCTTCGGCTCAGGTCATGATCCTGGAGTCCCTGGATCGAGTCCCGGATCGGGCTCCCTGCTCAGCGAGGAGCCTGCTTCTCCCTCTAACCCTCCCCCCGTCATGTACTCTCTCTCTCTCTCATTCTCACTCTCTCAAATAAATAAATAAATCTTTAAAAAAAAAAAAGACTAATTGGGTTAGGAAGTGGGAGTAAAGGAAGAGAAAACGAACTCAAATAATTTTGTTCTGATGTGTAACATAATGAACTATTTTGGTAAAATGAGAAAATATGTGGGTAAAGGATAAAGCTAAGAACCAGTGTGTGCTGAAATGTAGGCTGTTTATGTAAAAGTAATTTTTAGGTTCTCTGAGCATTCTAATTATATTATTTTATTTGACAATTTATTGAACAAATAGAGACATTATTAGCATAATTCAATATTGGCTTACTCTCAGGAAAGCAAGAAATACTTTAATATTCTAAGTCTTGAGGATCAGGAATTTTTGCAGTAAAAATAAATATTCCAGAGTAGAATGAAAACAATTGCATATCTTCTTAATTTGTCATGCAGTTCCCAGTAGGCAGTCAAATACAATGGAAAACCACTCAAAAGGTCTAACTACATTAACAGTTTTTGGCTCCTGCTGGTTTCAACCTTTTATCAGCCACTATGCTAATGCTATCGAAAGATATGGTTAGGGAATAAAATATTCATGATCTTCTTTCATTTATTTATTTTTTAAAATCACACCTTCTAATGAAATTCCTGGGCTCCTAAGGAGGCAATTAAGATGCTCATCACATAAAGTAAATTAATGGGGTATACAATGAATTATTTGTCCCAGATAAAAAAAAGTATAGGTTGTTCACCATAATACTGAGGCAAATCTACAGATCACTTTACCTTTGGTCATGTGTGCCTTGAGGGAAAAGCATTAAGATAAATTCTTTGGACATCTGACTTTGGGTGGTAAGTGTCATTAAAATATTCAAGACAAAACAACGAAATCAAACCAAAAAATTTTTCAACTACATCTTGACTCTCCCCACTCTACTACTACTCCCTTGCTCCCAAATCCATATCTGAAATGGAGTTACCCCTGTCAGGCAGATGGATGCGAAGATTTGTATTTAAAACAGACTCAGAGAGTCTCTGCAAACTTTCTAGCCCACAGTAAAACAAGGACCCAGTGAAGAGGCCATCTCACACTTCTCTCGGGCAGAGGGCCCAGAAACGTTCCAAAGAGAGGTCTGGTTGGGGAACAGGATGCTCCAGGATCTCAATTTTTCCTGCATTGTGTCCAACAATCACGCTACCCAGGAATTTGGACATTCCGTGACAAAAATCAAACATCCACCTTCCCTAAGGACGGTAGTTCTAGTAGCAACACTAGATACACATTTTATTGCGTAGTCTTAGTAATTATTATCTCACTCTAGGAAGTTTAACTGTTTTCTAGGGTGAAATCAGACAAATTTAGGATATTTTGATTGCCACCCATGATCATTAAGATTTTAGGACTTCCTAACAAATTCTGGTAGTTTCCTTACTTAAACACAATTATTGGACTTAAAGAAAACTATTTATCTTAATGCTTACAAGGAAATTAGGCCTATTTTTCTTGAGTTGTTGGTAAGTATCAAAATTTCAGATACAGCAATGCATAAAAATGACATGGTTTGTGAATCCTGACTATAGTTATTGACAGAAAAGGTTTTCATCTTTTTGAAGCTGTTTTAGAAGGGTTTTTTTCCCCTTTTTTCTTTTCTGAAGGTTTTTTCATTTTTCAAAAAGAACTACCAACTATTAAATATTTTAAATACATACAGAATCAGAGACAATTGTATTAGACACATCCTTATTTGTTTATTTAACTTCTGCCGGATTCCTTTCAGGTCTCCCTTTTGTCCCCCTCTTTAAGGACATATATACACGGTCACATGTTCAATTAAGGTCATAACTTCCTGTCAGTCCTTCCCATGCTCTCCCTGAGTTGCTCTGAAGTTGGTATGTGTCATTTCCCTGCACACTGTGTACAACTAGGGTATGTATATGCATATATAACAGATAAATACCATTGTTTTCATAAAAGGTTCATAAAGGTTTTTCTAACATTTCGTGCCTTTTTTTATAAACAGTATGCTCTATGTGTTCTTTTGCAACTTTCCTTTTATACAATTATATTTCTAAGACTTGTTCCTGTTCATTCATGTAGATTCAAGTTTATTGAATTGCTGTACAATAGTCCGTTTTCATGAACAAGTTAAAATGCATTTTATGAATTTCCCTACTAAAACAGAGTTGTTTCCATTCTTTCACTATTTCAAATAACGCTGTAATGACTGTTCTGGTATGTGACTACATATGCACATAGATAAAGATTTCTCTAGAGCAGGCATCCAGAGAGGAAACTGCCGGGTCAGAGCTAAGTGCATCTTCAAATTTACTAGCTATTGCCAAAATGCTCCCCAAAGGGATTGTATCATTTTATACTCTTGCCAGCAGTATATGGGAGTTTCCACTTCTCACAATTATCAGACTTTAAAATTTCTGTCAACCTGATGGGTGTGAAATGGTACATTTCAATTTGCATTTCCTTTAAATTTAGCACACAGCAATTATAATATGTAATATGCCACTTTGTCATCGCCCATGTTCTTATACTTAACAGAGGAAAATGAGGGAGAATGTCTTTGTGATCTAAGGACAGAGAAGGACTTCTTAAACAAAACTTCAAAAGCACAAACCCTAAGAAAAACAGTGATAAATCTGACATATAAAAACTAAGGATTTCTGCTTAATGAAGAAACACATGGACAAGCATAGTAAGTGACAGAACAGGAGAAAATATCTATATCCAATAAGGAATTAATGTCTAAATAAATACCTAAATATCTAAGGAATGTCCACAAACTGGAATGTGGATTGAGATCCCACTTTTAAAAAAATGTACAGTACAAATGAAAAGACAATTTGCGGAAGTCCAAAACACTAACAAGCATATAAAAAGATATTCCAACTCTCTGACACTTCTACAACCCACTTCTACAGGAGATCCCACTTCTACAACCATCAGATTGGCAAAATGATACAGCTGGACGGTGAGGACATGGAATCTTTATTCTAGCTGCTACAGGAACCAACCCCTCAAGCACGGCTGGCGGGAAAGCAGCTGCAGAGCTGCCTCGACTCCTTCATCAGGTTTAGTACCTGCAGACCTTATAGCCCGACAGTTCTGCCCCTGGGTATATGTGCCACGGACATCCTCACACAGGTCTAGAAGAAGAGGATGCTGCAGCTCTATCTGTGGTGAGGGGGTGCTGGAAGCAATCTGGAAGTCAATTACTACAAGAGGGGTTAAGTAGAATGCAGTGGATCGCTGTGCAGTGGTTAAAAAAAGCAATGAATTACATGTAAATATAGGACAGCGACATGGCTGAATCTAAAAAACACTGAAATAACTGAGAACACTTAAAAACTGAATGAGATATAGAACACAGCCCAGATGCAAATAATACATGCATGCACAGAAGACACATTTTGCGAGAATGCATATGAACAAAAGCATACAGATTAAACACATCCGAATGGTTGCCTCTAAAAAGGGAGGTGAATGAGGCCAGGCTATTGGCCTCAAAATAAAAAATAAGTAGTGGTCATTTCCTCTCAGAAGTCTTCACTGGCCACCTTATCTAAATAAGACGTTTCTACTCTTTTCTTTAAAGCTCTTATTTTCGTTTTCTTCATAACGTCTCCTTTTATAGTGATTTTGCTTGTTGGCTGACTGCTTTTCCTACTCGGATATAGGATTTATTAAGGCAGCACCATTTCAGTATTGTTCACCACAGTATCTCTAGCACGTTGTAGGTACTTAATAAATGGGTTGCTGAATGAACGAATGAATGAATGAGTTGTGGGAGCTAAGCCCAGAAAGCACAGCTGGGGCAAACTGAGCAGGCAAAAAGGAAATCACAGAAGACTCTGAAGAGGAGACACAAGCGGAGCAGCGGTGGAGGAAGACGAGCATGAGAGCAATGGGCAGGTGGGTTAGACATGGGGAAGAAACAGCCGCAGAAGCCCAGACATGAGCTTGTCCAGAGCCTACGAAGTGGTGTGAGAGTGAAAAGAAATGCATCGTGAAAGCTGTTACAGAGGAAGAAATGACTAGATTTGGTGATGGAAACTCGAAGGAAGAGGAGGGAGTAAATGATGACTCCACCATTTTGAGCCCAGGGTACAGCTAAAGAGAGAAATTACGAAGAATTATTCTTTTGGACAGAACATCAATGCATACTTGGATATGTTGAATTCAAGGTTAGTGTTCATTGAACACCATCTCTAGGCACTGAAGATACTACTAAGACATGATGCGGCTTTCACCAAGCTTGTGAAAAAGGCAACTATAACAGCATGAGAAAGCAATCATGGAGAAGTAGAGCGTGGATGGGAGTGGACAAGCTTGCCAGTAAAGAGTGTCAGGTAAGGGAGAACAAAAGATGGAACACAGCATCATTTAAAAATTGAAACTGATCTTAAGTCTCTACTTCTAGAAACAAGTGGGTAGAAAAGAGATATGAAAAGAAAACCAATTATTCCATTTTTGTTGTTTTCCCCCCAATCTATATTCTCTTTTCTCCAAGAGAGCCAAGCTATAGATTTTTTTTAAGTGCACAGTATTTGGATTCCTAACCACAAACAGAAAGCAAACAACAAACACTTGTTGAGTTCATATGATGAATATGAATTACCACAAAATATGCAAACTGGTTGTTTTGAAGGATTTCAGTATATTCTTCACAATCAGCTTTATAATATGATGGAACGCTTCTGCTTAATTACTTAATCCCATTTTAGGTAGTAAATTACAAACAGGCTAACCAAAAGAAAACTTCCCCAAAGACCAACAGAAGACAATTTAAAAAAAATATTTTACTGATCAATTTCCCTTTGAAGTAATTCCAGCCATTCAGATAGTTGTCAGTATTGGGGGACATACCGTCATACGTTCCACTTTCTAATAATGCTCCACTCACTTCCAGTGCTTTGAACTGTTCAACAGAAATGAAGATATAGTCCACCCCTGGTACTTCCCCATCCCTGGGGGCCCTTGTAGTGCCTAAGGAAAAAAAACAAGAAAAAAAATAGGTTGCTTTTAAACTTACAAAATATTGAGAATAATAGAAAATACAGTCTATAGAGAACACATGGGAGAAACACACTACTGAATATATGTACCTTCTAGAAAGACAACCAGAAAATTTTAGGCAACATTTTTAGGTGAAAATAGGACAATAATGTAGAATGACTAAATATACTTTAATATAATCTACATATAGCTACGAAATACAAACCACAAAGACTAAAAAGAGTTCTAGTGTCAAATTAACATCTGAAGGAAAGATAAATCTACCAATGATAAGACTTCATATTTTGGGGGACATGGTTATTCTTTTTTTTTTAATTGAAGTATAGTTGACACACAATATTAGTTTCAGTGTATACAGATTTCATTTTTATCAAGCTACCTTATGCATTTTTCTTCCCTGGTATAAGTGAAGAGAGAAACAATTTTTAAAAGTTCTTTTAATGCACTTTAGTTTTAAAATTTGGTCAAATATTAATTATGAAATTATTTTAGTTTAATGAATAAAGGACTTAAAGCTTAAGATAGGTATTCATATATTGCTTCTCAGCCATTATTCTCTTTAAGTAATTTTAAAATTTTAAGAAGTACAGTGTTTAATGAAATACACTATGGCAACAGAATAGTAAATTCCTATCAAGGAATTCACACTAAAGTAAAATCTTTTATTTATTTATTTTTAAGATTTTATTTATTTGCGAGAGAGAATGAGAGACAGAGAGCATGAGAGGGAGGAGGGTCAGAGGGAGAAGCAGACTCCCCGCCGAGCAGGGACCCCGATGCGGGACTCGATCCCGGGACTCCAGGATCATGACCTGAGCCGAAGGCAGTCGCTTAACCAACTGAGCCACCCAGGTGCCCTAAAGTAAAATCTTTTAGATCAAAGTATAAATTCAGGTATGGCAGCATTGCTACATTTGACTGAATTTTACTGAATATGATTCAACGTTTCTGTGAACTGATACTAGAAAAATTATTTCAAATAGTAGAGAATACAAAAAAAGAGACCCAAGTATTTAGCCTCAAAACAGAGTTGGGATATTGCAGCAAATCCTGCACAAGAATCCCTTTCCAGATCTTTTCTTCCACTTATGCTCCCTAGTCATTAATGGCGCTCCAAGCCAGAGGGCAGAGAGTCCACCATCTTAGGTTCCGCCCTCTATTCCACATCTGGTTAGGAAATCTGGTTGATTCCATCTCCTCAATACCTCTAGGGTTTATACACTTTTCTTCATTCTCACACTCATCTAATTCATATCACTATCTATGGTCTGTTTTGTTGGTCTCATAGGGTCAACCCTTACTTCTCCCTGGCTATGGTCCTTACCTAGACTGCAGCCAGTGACATCTCTAAAACAATCATCTGAGCAAAAAACCTCTAAATCTATCAAAGGTTTCCCATGATCTTTAGCAATAACAATCCTCTTCAGGTTCTTTTTTGCCTCACCCCTTTAACATTCTAGGCTTTAACCATAATAGTTTTTTTTTTTTTTTTTAGTTCTTTTACACTTGCTTACACCTTACACTTGCTTACCTCCACAAGGCCTTTCTCCAAGTCATCCCTTTCCCTGGAAGACTTCCTCTTCCCTTTCCCACTCTTACCTCAGCTGACATCTACTCACCCTTTACATCCTGGCTTAAGAAGTTTCTTTAGAGGACCTTCCCTGACTCCCACCTGGGATGGAACATGAAGGGATGATGTCTACATGGTTCAAACTAATAGTCCCAAGTCTTAACACAGTGAAGAATCATAGTGGTCAAGTAAATTATGTGATATTTTACACAAATATAATTAGCACAGTACCTGGAAATACGCTATTATTATAATTAATGGAAGATTATTAATTGCTCTTACTTTTTAGTTGTATTACATTCTATTATATTCTGTAACCTGAAAAAAATTCACAAAGGTGATAATAAAACATTAATGGTAACAATCTCAGAAAATGATTTAGACAATACTATAAGCAACAAAGTATATTCAATAAGCTTCCCCCTTGTTCTTACCGAACTTTTTATTTTTAAAATGAGCATTTCTTTATCTGCTTTATATCACAGAGGATAAAAAAGCTGGAAAACATAACTTTTTTTGTTAAAATATTTTTGTCATTGTCAAATTTTTGTTTTCTCATGCATTGGCTAAACTACATTGTTAGATTCCCCAAATCAACAGCTTTTAGCTCCATATTAACTAAAAATTAACACTGGAAAATAAATTTAATGATTAAATTTAACACTTATAATTATCTGTGATAGATAGAAAAACGTGGCCCCAATATTTTGTACCTCCTCTCATTAAGAGATGGGGCGGCCTACTGCTTCACCTCTGAAATCTGGACTGGATTTACGATTTGCTTTGAAAAGTTTAATGTGGAGGATGTGATGTTGTACAAGTTCAGGAGTCTAGACTTCCATCTTTGCTTTCTTGGAATGGTTCCACCACCAAGTATGGAAGTCCAGGTTACACTACGATGAGAGAGCCCCAGCCAACAAACAGCACCAAGGTTCCAGACATGTGAGTGAGGCCATCTTAGACCCCCCAACCCCAGTGGAGGTGCCAATGACTGCAGCCACATAAGTGGTCCCGGTTGAGCTCATCTAACTCATGGAATCATGAGAAATGATACATGATAGTTATTTTTCTAGGTTGTTCTAGGGTGATTTGTTATGCAGCAAAGGCTAATTGAAATATTATCCAAATAAACTCTACTATAAAATATACTGATTATAGGGCACCTGGGTGGCTCAGTTGGTTAAGCGACTGCCTTCGGCTCAGGTCATGATCCTGGAGTCCCTGGTTTGAGTCCCGCATCGGGCTCCCTGCTCAGCAGGGAGTTTGCTTTGTCCTCTGACCCTATCCCCTCTCATGTGTTCTCTCTCTCTCAAATAAATAAATAAAATCTTTAAAATATATATATATACTGATTATATAAAACCTGAAAAACCCGATTTAAGAGCAAACCATATTATAGATAATACTATAAAAAGAGCACTGATGCAAGGGGCAGGAGCTACTCCGTGTTTTAGTCTGGAATTGTTAGTAATGATACGATTTTAAGCAAGTACTTAATCCCTCTGTGCTTCATTCTCTTTCTGCAAAGTGATGTTAAGCAAGGTGATGTTCATGATGCTTTCCATGAGTAGATATGAAATGCCATGTGTGACACATATATATATTTCCAAGACTTAAGAAGATTTAATGTTACTTCTCTACAAATATAGGTATTACAAATTTTCACATCCTCTCTCCAAAAATGTGTAATCCCAATACACATAAAAAGTTCTCTCCTTTCACCTACCCTACCCTATTGCCTTCAGCATTCCAGAAAATTTATATTGGTATTCTCCTGATACTCTATATATTTAATGTAAAGCTTTCTATATCACCTCTAGTCCCTACTATATTTCTCCTTTTTACATAAAATTCCTCCAAGTTCTGTTTACTCACAGTCTCCCAACTCCTCTCTTCTGTCTCTTGAGCCCATTCCAATTAGATCACTGCCCCAACCACTCCACTGAGACAATCTGCTGTGTTCATCAGGAGTCTCCACTTTGCTTAACCCAATGCTCAAGTCTCAGTCCTAGTATTACCTGACCTATCAAGATTTGATATAACTGATCATTCCCCTCTTTTGTTTTATTCTGAAATATACAGACAGGTACATAAGACATATATGTAAAGTTTGACAAGTAATAATAAAGCAAACCCCCTCAAGTGAAGAAACAGTATCACCAGGAGATCAAAAGCCCCCTTGTACACCTCCAATCATAAATATCTCCTTCCCCCACCCCCAAAAGTACCCACCATCTTGACATTTGTGATGATTTCCTTTCTTCTTTAAATTTTTTTTTTACCAACTACATAATGCATTCCTAAGCAACAAAGCTTAGTTTTGCCTCTTTTGTAATTTCATATGAATGGAACCATGCCATATGCATCCTTTTATGTCCACATTAACACTTGGAGTCAGGTTTTTAAACTTCTGCCAACATGTGAAGGCATCTCACTGTGTATTTAATGTGCAACTGATTTATGAGATCACACATTCTTTTTCAAATATTTACTAGCCGTAGAGATTTCTTCTGTTGTGAAGTGACTATTCAAGGCTTTTGCCACTTCTCTGTTGGTTTGCCTATCTTCTAAAACTTGACTTGTAGTTCTTTACTACAGTACTTCATCAAATCTAAGTAATCAACAGCTTCCAAAATGCACCACTATTTTATCACTAAAAAAGAAAACTGGCAATTAAAATCAAAAGATTACATCTATCGTAAGATACAATTGTAGAGAGGCTAACATGTGAAATAACTGTGTCTTACTATTGATAAAGCACTGCAGTCCTTTGTCAGATATACGTGTTGCAAAGGGGGTTTCTGCAAAATGTGAAATAAGGGGAAGCCTGGGTGGCACAGTCGGTTGGGCATCCGACTACTGGTTTTGACTTGGGTCATGGTCTCCAGCCCCACGGCAGGCTCTGTGCTCAGCATAGTCTGCTTAAGATTCTCTCTCCCTTTCCAACTCTGCCCCTCCCACTCATGCTTTCTCTCTAAAACGAATAAATAAATCTTTTTTTAAAAATGCTTTCTAGAAACAGTACTTTCTGCAAAATCGTGTTCCCCAAATAGTGGAGATTACTGAGAAAACAGGGTCAGGGTTGATTTCTCAAAACCTATTGCAACTTTGTAACCAGAGCCTAGCAAAATCAGTAACAACCCTAATTAAAAACACTAAGACAGCTTAAAAGATATTTTAAATTCCTGATAAAAATACCAGTGTAAATAAAATACTTTGTCTTTAAATAACAATTTTAAGAAAAGAAAAGATAGCTTGACAGGGGTATAAGGAGGGTTGGAGCTACTGAATAATGAAGATAAGGCAAAAGATGTAATAAATGATTTTTAAGATAAAGTACATGTCCAAATTGAGAAAAGAGGCCAAATCGAGGTGAATGGGCATTATGAACAGTGCATGC